TCCCCGGACACGACCCTATGCGCTATTTTTCGCGAAGACTAGAAACACAGCCGACAAGGTTTTTCGGAGATTATCTCAACGGAAATAATTCTCGAAGACTCCCGAGCCTCTTGACGTTCGCTTTCTTCGTTCGTTTCCTGCGAAGGCCGAGCATGCTAAGAGCCCTCGTACTCCCTGGTTCTAATAAGGGAAGATAACACAAAAAGGGTAAGCATCCTGAGCAAGCAAATGAAGGAAAAACTTCTAAGAATATCCGGCAAACTCCGAATGCGGAATATATGGGGAGTCACGCTGACCGGGTTTCCTCAGCTCAGTTGGGTGGTAAAACTCTCTGGCTGATAGGGGTCGCTCGAGTCGCAAAATGGCGGTGGCCAGAGAGCAGTTTTTTGCAAAGGTGCATTGGTTAGGGCCGCGCATGCGCAGTAGTGGCGTCTTCGTTCCGGGGAGCGTAACGGAGCTGGGAAAACGGTCTACGAAAACTCCGTAATAAACCAATCTCGGAAATCGCCGGTTCAGGAGGTTCGAGTATAAAAATGAGTGAGAACGTTTTTCGGCGAGTGCAGGCACTCCCTTGGCTGAGAAAGCTAGATCTTGCTGACTTTATTGAGCTGCAGTGACCTAGATTGGGCTTTCTCAAAGACACCTGTGCACCCCTTGTGGTTCACCTTTTGCTCCGAAGCTCGTTTAAAAGCGTTTCTTTTATCACACATATTAATAAACCTGAGACGAACGGATGACAAGGGGACAAACACACACGTCTCTATAACGATATGTTTAATCACTTCCTTCTAAATTCACAAATTGTTTTATCCTTTAAATACTTGAACCAAGTTTTCCGCCAGGTGCTCCACCTGGCGAATAGTTTAGAAATAATTGACTGCCAATTATTTTTGAACTATTCTGGTTCTGGAACCTTGACCTTGATGCGTCAAGAATGGTTTAAGCTGGTGCCAAAGGGGGGCAGTAGAATGGAGTTTGCAAGCGGTTTCGTGGACACTCTCCCTTGTTAGCTGTGTTTCCTTCTTGACATATCTTTAAATATTATTTGCCAGTTCCAAAGTACGGGTGTTCCTCCTCGCCCTTGGCTGGGAGGACAAAATACTCGCCCTTGGTTGTAGATCAGCGACCGATGCTGCTGTCCTCGAGTCGATGTTTCTCCTGAGTGTGCACGTTTGTCATTCACTCGCGTAATCATCAAGTATGGCTGCCTGAACACCTTCTACTTCGGCTATCACAGATATGCAACGCCGAACTACATGCGAGGTCTCCCGAATCGCAGCAAGGCATATTAGAAATTTATTGCGGAATGCGTCAAGAGCCGAGCATGCAACCAAACTAAACAACCGCATTCGATAGGTCTACAATACTTCAATGACCTTGTTCCTAAAATCTTGTGGCACCCATTATGTTGAATATCTCGAGTTATTTAAAAGTAACCTTCGATTCCAGCAGCTAAGGCTCGTTTTGAAAGTCGTAAAGCTCACCGCAGATTGTGATTTTCAAAGAAGTCATCAGGTGTAGAGTAACCCGGTTTTACTTTTAGAGCGCAGCTCTTAGGGGCCCGTTTCCAGCCTGAGCGGCGTCGGCGTCGCCGTTGGCGTCGCCGTCGGCGTCGCCGTCGCCGTCGGCGTCGGCGTCGGCGTCGGCGTAACCGCGCCCCTCTCTCTCCTCCTCCTCCCCCTCCTCCTCCCCTCCTCCTCCTCTTCCCCTCCTTCTCCTCCTCCCCTCATTGTGTAATATGGTCCGGGCGGGTCACGTGACCTCGGGGGGAGGGGGTCACATGACCCGTTTCCAGCCTGTGCGGCGTCGGCGTTGGCGTCGGCGTCGGCGTCGCCCCTCCCCCTCCTCCTCCCCCCGCTCCTCCTCCTCCCCCCTCCTCCCCCGCCCAGGTCACGTGACCCCGGGGGGTGACTCCCCTCCCCCCCGCCGAAGTCACGTGACGGCCCGCCCAAGGTCATCTGATCCCGTCCCCTCGAGGTCACGTGACCCCCCCGGACCTCTGCCCTCCTCCTCCTCCCCCTCCTCCTCCTCCTCCCCTCATTGTCTGGTTCGGGGGGGTCACGTGACTTCGGGGGGAGGGGGTCACATGACCAGCGGCGAGGAGGAAAGCAGTACGAAGGTGGAGGAGGGGGGGAGGAGAGAGGAGGAGGCGGAGGCGAGGGGAGGGGAGGAGCTTGAAGGACGAGGAGGTGGTAAAGGAGAGGGAGGGGGAGCAGGAGGGGAGGAGGACTAGCACGCATGATCACGAGGGAGGAGGAGGAATATACCCTCCACTCCTCCTCCTCAAGAGCTGCGCTCCAATTCGGCGTTACAGGAAGTTGTAAACGGCTTTCACTTTTTTGATTCTTATATTACAAGCTCGCAACGTGCTTGCAAAGTATCTTCGAAAGTCATTCAATTACTTTTTCAAAGTATTTTGTACTCTACTCAAGATGGTCTGCAGCAAAGTAACCTTAATGTTACTCTAAATACATTTTAAAGGGATGTCTAGTATTTTATCCTAAATACTTTTGTGCCGTATTTGGCTGAAGACTAATGCAAACAGGCAGCGCCAAAAACGCAACGTCACGGCGGCGTTCGTTGTCTGCCAGTGCGCATGCTATCATCGGCTAAACCAATCAAGCGCAGCCATGCACGGTGACCTTGAAGTTTGAATCTGTGCGTTTGTGCTTGCGTTTCTTCTAGTTTTGGATTTGCACGTTCAGCGGTGTCGGTTGCTCCACTATTGCTCAGTGGTTTCGGCCTTCCAGCAGTCGGCACGTGACTTTCAAAGGAGGTCTATTACACCACGACAAAGATGCTCGTTTGTCAGTGGCATTGCTTGCGATTGTTGCTAGGATTGCACTTGGGTAACTAAGCTTGCGTAAAGGAAGAAAGTATCCAACCTAACACCGTTTCTCTTGAGATGAGCGCCTTGGCATAGCGTAAGGACTTCAGAAATGTTTAAACATAAATAAAAAGAGAGCGCACTGGCAGCACATCTTACCACAGATATGCCGCCTGTGTTATCTCGTTGTGTCTTTATTCCTTCAGTTTTGCCAATATCGTTGCACGAACGCTTTGCACGATACTGTAGCTAACGTGGCTACTAAGGCTAATATTTCTTTCGTTTTTTTTTTAAATTTTGCTCCTAAATTTGGTAAAAGTAAAATCACTTTTCGTACTAATATCAAAATATAAAATATTTTTGTTATACCGAGTGTTTAATTTTAATACGAACCGATTTATTAGATAAAGATCCGTAAAATATGCACTAATACAGTTCGGGCAGGTGAGTCATACGGCCAGAGGGACATCATATAGCTGGCTATTCTTTACAATATGTTTGATAATTAACTTAACTTACTTAATTATTTTTAATTATTAAAAATAATCAGATGATTTCTATTAGGAACATGCTGAGCATAATCGAAAACAACTATATCAGTGAATTTTAGAACGGCTTAAAGCTCGTGGGAAACTTGGGAGCCCACCAAACTTTTCATTCGTGCGGCAGGCGCAAAGCTAGCAGTGGCAAAACGCCGATGATTAGATTATCATCGCGTTCCGCCACTGCTAGCTTTGCGACAGCCGCACGAATGGAAACTTTGGTGGTCTCCCAAGTTTCTCACGAGCTTTAAGCCGTTCTAAAATTCATTGATATAGTGGTTTTCAATTATGCTCAGCATGTTCCTAATTGAAATCATCTGATTATTTTTAATAATTAAAAAGTTAATTAAGTAAGTTAAGTTAATTATCCGACTTATTGCAAAGATTAGCCACCCATATAATGTACCCCCTGGCCTTATGACTCACCTGCACAAACTGTTTTAGTGCATCTTTTTCGAATGTGTTGTAATAAATGTGTTCGAATTAAAATGAAACATCCGATATAAAGTGTGTACCTCTCGAGTCTCGGCAGCGCCTTTATCAACCGTACAAAAATGTTTTACGGTTGGCGTTTTGGTTGTGCGACAATACGCTTTTTCACGCTACTCGTGGAGAGTAATCTGGCACAATTACTTTATTGAATATAAATTTGTGAGAGTTAACAATAACAAAACTCTACGAGAGTATAATTCTTATAATTTTTATAGAAAACTAAAGCACAATCTGCGTTTTTCGTTACTATTTTTTAAACGTGTTGGTGCCGCGATTAATTCGATGTTGAATCACCCTTGTAAACACCGTGGCTCGTGCATAATCATACGCTGCAATGCTGTTTTATTCACTGCACAATCATTACATGGACGCCTCTTACGGAGGTACTCCTTCTCACCGGCCGAGAGAAACAGGCATATTTTGCTAACCACTTGACAGGACATGGTGTAACCGCTGAAAAGAAATTCGCCTCATCAATAGGCTTAAAAATACGGTATTACATGTGGCCATTGCCACTCAATATCTGCCTACCAGTCTTTGACAGGAAGGTCATTTGGCTATTCTAAACACCGAGAGGCTTCGGGAATTGTGACCGAATCATCAGGTTTGGGTTACATGGGTGGGATTCATTCTACTAGCTGATGACGTTTTTGTGGTTGCCATGATCATGTAGACGTAGGCGTGATATAAGAGGTGTTTTTGGTCTCGTGAAATATATCGCATCGAAGTTTGAAAGTAGCTACATATTTAAATGATTTTTATGCTATCTCTGCACCGACTGTACACTGAGATATAGGCAAATATGTCTATATCTGCATGCACAAAAAAAGACGACAAGGGTGTATTTTTTATAATGAGCCCAATGGAATTAAATATGGTCCGTCAAACATTAAAAATATAGTTCGCGTGTACAACCTGCAGAAAATCAGTAAAAAACGCAATCAGTTTTACCTCTGTTAGTGCCACGTACATGACAATGCCCGAAATATTTCATACTGATCTGCTATGCTGCCCTCAAAAGAAGTAAAACGGAATTATGAAAAACTTTATTTTTATATGAAAAAGCCGGGGTCTGCCTTCAGGAGCACATGTGAGAAAATGAAGCGCCCAGGCAGCAAGAAGCTTTCCAGGTAACTTACCAGTTCACCGCCCGAGCACGCCTCTTCTGGCAACTTTGTCGTTTCTCCGTTTTTGCATATCAGAGTGCATGTTCTTGGATCAAAGGTTTCGTATTCCTGAAATAGATTTACATAATGTCAGGAATAAAACTGTGTAGTAGAAATATGTAAGTAAAAAATAAATCTTTAAAATGTTCAACTTGGACAAAATCGAAATTCCGAAGTGCATGAACTGGCGTCGCTTACTTCAATCTTGTTGTAAGAACAGGATCTAGCTCAAGAGCAACGCTGACTGCAGCGGTTTTCTATCTTGAACACAGCAGCAGCTTTTGGTATTCTTGTTGAGGGGGCGCTGCTGATACCTGCGGGTGTCTGAACCGGCGGGTAAGTAGCCGGAAATGGGATTTATAGGAGACCTGACTGACTCCGTGGGTAAAAATACATGGACTTCTAGCCGATTCCGCTCATCACATTTCAGCCTTGCTTGTCTCTTTATTTGACTTTCTGACAACACAGTATTCCCCAGAAGTAGATATGTACATATTAGTGAACAATAATAATTAAATTCCCTTACTCATTACTTGAACAAAAAGTAACAGAGAACTGTGCTAAGAAAACCTATCGGGAACACGGGAACGCGTCCTATTTTATGACAGCGCTATCCTGGTGGCAGTCGAAGAACTGTTGTCTGACGTAGCGCTCAGTGAAACAACCCTGGAAGTTGGGACCGCTGGCTAAATGTTGACATTGCGGCTGGACAGGAAAAAACAGAGCAATTTAGTTTGTGATGCAATTAATGCTTTTAGCCACCCCTTCACTTACGGTGTATATAGGTGACCACCGAAATCGTCCATTTATATTTGGCTTATTCAGTAGAAATATCAAATACTGATTACATAATTCAATCACTCATAGTTTCAACAGGTATATTTTTGCCTCTTCGTGCACAAAGGTGGCGATAAGTATAGATTGGCCGGCCGGAAAAAAATCGTGAGCTTTGTTCACGTTAAAGCCGCAGTTTTGATCTTGATCGAACGGCCTCCCTTGCGTGGGCTGTTTCATTGAGCTCTAGGTTATCAAGTACTTGTACAGCTACCGCCAGGGTAGTTATATGAAGTATCAAGTTATATCAGGTACCAAGTACTCATGAGATAAGACACCGCTTGCGTGTACCGGAAAGCTCGGTGAGCTCCATAGGTTACGCGGCACAAAGATTCAATAGAATCACGTTACTTTTTCGCTCCTCTGGATGTGTCATTTTTCTGAAAAGAGTAGCTGCCTTCCATGCTTCTGTCGATAATAATTCGTCATTTTTTTAACCACTCGTGGACATAAAAAATTTCCACAACAGTTTTACTTTAGGCAATATTTACCCCATTCAACCTTGTAGAACTACTCGCCCCATCCGACACCAGTAGAAGCAAGGATATAAAAATCAGCGCCTTGATTTATTTTCGAAAAAAATGGTTGCGCTTATAGAGACAAGGGGGAGGAACACACAACACGATCCCCCAGCACCAACTGTATAAGTTTTGGAACTCCGCGCGAATATATACTCTGCGCCATCACGCCACTCAAACAATCCCGTACCCCGCTGCTAATCGCAAGAACTGGTTCTCTTTATCTGCAATATCAATTGTAGCCACGCTATCGCATTTACCGTCGTAACTTTAGGTTTAGACCGTTCCAAAAATTTCACTTACTATTTTATTTTTAGGCATGTTTGTAAGCGAGTACGTAGTGAACACATGGTTGCATCCGCACTCATGACAATGCATCGACAGATGGCCATCTCGATGTCTGCCCACGTTTTGGTTATATTCGCGTAATTTCTCATGAACACATCTTTCTGTACGGCCTATATATTATTTGCCACACGTTAACGGAATCTCATACACATATCCTTCGCATACAATAAACTGGTTCCGGTGCTTCCTCAGGCAGATTTTGCGGGGCTTTTTGGAAGGATGTATTTTTCTTAATTTCCCTTATGTTTATGCTATTCGTCACTAAGGTGCTTGTACTGTATACGTTCCCTAACACATTCCATAGCTCAAGTTTTTGATAGACACATTTTTTATACAATCTGAGACACAAGTTTTTCCGTTCTTCCTATTTATACCTTGTTTCACTTTACGAGGGACCTCAAAGGACACTAAGAGCCACCGAAGTCAACGTAAAGCTCGCAGGGTGTCACGTGTTCTTCCGACACGTGACGATGACACCGTTTTAGGGCTAAGAAAAATCTGACGCACAGGAGGTAGGCCAACAAAAGTGATAGTATGAGACAAAATATGGGAAATTGCCGAAGGCATGCATCCACGCGGCAAAGATCGCCAAGCTGCTATACACCGCTTTCGGAAGGGCAACTGAATCTAGGAAAGTCGTGGACGACATTTTGATTCCCGACATACACCTCCTGAGATTGTGGGAGAGGCGACGGCAAGCGATCCTTAGATACAAGAGAGAGAAAAGAAAGAGAGTCCTCAAAGGAGTCAACATGCTTGCCACAGAAGCCGAGGAGTACGCGAGAGAACTGGATGAAAACCGTTGTTAAAAATTCTGCGAATCCTTCGACCACATCACCATGATTAATGACCATTAGGGAGTCTTCAACTCGATGAGCAGAAAGAACAAGAGCGTCAGCAACGTTCCCGTTATTCTGTTACTTTCGGAAAAGGAAACGGAAGAAATTATTGAGGAAACGGGGGAACGTCTTCTTTCCCCAACTGACTTGAGACCCACACCAGAACATCTACACCCCTAAACACCTCGGGTCGGCGAGAGAACGCCGAAATTCTTCATTTAAGGGATCGGAACTAGAGGCAGCCATCGGCCAGACCAAGAAGAACAGCGCGCCGGGCCGAGACGGGATCACGGCAGCCATGCTGAGAAACACGCCAAAAACGGCCAAATACAAAATACTGAAGACTTTGAACAGGATCTGGCAGGAATATTGTCATCAGCGACGGCAAATGCTGACAACAAATTGAACACGACGATTACATCAATGTTCGGCTCAAACTTGATTTGAAGCCAAGCGCTGACTCACCACTCGTTTTCAATCTGTGTCCAACTTTGGCGTTCACCGGTGACGCAAAGATGTCAGCACTATGGCTTTGTCTTCTAGGCGGTGTTGACCAGGGGGAGCTCAGGATCTAGAATACCACTCCCCTCCGACACCCCGAGCCTGCCGCGCAGCATCTTTGCTCATGGGATTCACAATTGCAGTCAGAACCATCGTCACCAACAAGAGTCATTTGAAGATCGTCCAGGCTCCCAGCTACCGGCGGCGCACGAGTAGACAACCAGTGATTTCCCTACACACCCCCTAGGGGTGTGTATACCCCCTTGTTTTTCTGAAAGCACTCCCTTAATTCGCAACGACTCCTCTATTCTCAATGCCCCCCCCCCCCCCCCCCCTAACCCGCCTCCCAACAATTTAGGCATCACCCCCAATTTCAATTCCTGGGGAAACCCCTGCAGATAACCTGGATATCAGGTTGTAAACTCGTGTAGGGCTCTCGATTTTCAATACAAGTCAATTCCTTCCTTTTCCTTCCGGCTCAGGGGAGTAACGGGAAAGTGCGAAGTCACAAGACAAACTACGAACTATGAATTGGCTCGTGTGTTCGTAGCGTTCATCGCGGTTCATTGTAAGGTGGAACGGAGTGTAGGCCTAGCACCTGCAGGCCGTGCAGGCCGCCATGGTGGCGACTTATATCATTGAGTTGAGGCAGCATTCCTCGAAGAGGGCGGTGTCTCCCTTCGCTCTTTTGGGTTAATCTGCTACTGGCGCACTCGTGGGAGTGATCAATGACGCGACCCATCTCCAGCTTAGCCAGACCACCTACTCCGGGCGCGTTTATTTCCCGCAGGTTATATAAGCCGGCCCCAAAACCCCGAGACTATAAGGAAGGCTCTGGTCCTCTTTTTTTTTTTTTTTGCAGCTTCCCCTATTTTATGAATTTGCCTAGTGTGGTAGCGTGGGCCCCTCCAGGTGAATCTGTCAGATATGACATCTCCGATATTTTAGTCTTTTCTTTTTATTGTTTGGCCGACGTGCAAAACGTCTTGGCGTAGTCGTCAATAAACACGTCATTCTACGGTCCAACAGACATCCTGTGTTTGTACGTGGTACCCCCCCCCCCCCCACACACACACAAACACTTTCCGAAAAAAAAGGGGGGAAACCCACAACAATCAGTATTTTTTTTTTTTATAAAATAAGGAAGCCACTTTGGATTATCAAAAAAAAATCTACTTTCTGTTTAATTGTTTTCTGTCCTTTCAAATACTCACAGATACTTGCTCAGAGCACACATTGTCTCCGCCTTCTCTAATATATAACTCGCATTCGTTGGAAACTTCGGTGTAAGAAGAAAACGATTCCCCTGAAAAAAAAAAAAAAAAAAAAAGGACTGTGAATGAAGGTATTAGTTCGCTGGATCATGCCAACAGCTCACTTGAGCTAAAAACGCAAACGATTTTATTTAACTTTGTTTTCCTTTTATTTTACTGTTCCTTTCAGCTTCCCAGTTCACATCCCAGGTGCAAACGGCTCATCTCATTATCGTGTGTATTTTGATTAATTATATTATCAAAACCATCGCCTTATTTTTTATTAGAAGTGTATAAACATTGATAAGTTAGAACCATTTTTCTGCTTTGTTCACCAATATTACTGAAACTATTTTATATTAAGGATTTCTTCGCTAATGTGTGCACTTTGTTGTTGTGTCTAAAAGCGAACTGCCGCTGTTAATGAGTAAGTCCGGCGCACTTTCCCGATATTAGGATCACGACGGGTTTTAGTGAAGGAAGTGTACCTAAATTACGAAATGGCCGTTTTTTTTATTGTTTTTTTTTAAATTTTGTAGATATGCTATTTCCAAATTTTTTATCGGTGGTTTACTGCGAAACCGGAACTACCGGCTCTAGCATTATGGCAAGCCATGTGATCAGCTGCATGGTCGTCATGTGACGCAAAGTTCGTATTGAGGTACCGCAAAGCGTATTACCTTCCTAGTCGCAAGAGCAGTTTCGATCAGTTAGGTAAGAGCTACCGTTTTTTTACTTCTTTGCTCTGCAGATATCAAACCCCATCTGTAGCATACATTAATGAACGTTAATAAATTTACCAGCTGAAAAGCAAGTCTGCCACGATGAACCTATATTGCAGTTCTTCTGAGAAGAACTACAATCTTGGTGAAGCGTTGTAAAAGCAGTTCGTAAGCCCGCGCTTAGCAGGAAAGAACTAAACTATGGCCTTCAGTGAATGCCACCTTCGGTACAAACTTCGGCACCACGACGCACTTGAGCGAGCAGGAAGTCAATAATCTTTGTGCGCGATCGCTGTAGAGTACTTAAAAACTACGACCTCTAAAACACCACGTAACAAGCAGAAATCGTACGCTGGGACGGCTGAAAACGCAGCATAAAACATTGCGAGAAAAGTGGGAGTACGCACAAGAAACCTTCTAAAAAAATGAAAATAACATCAGGGCACAAAGGTGCTTGATAAGTAGCCAACAAGCTGCATGCCCTCTGAGTAGTTTGTGGTAGCATTTTTAATATCGGTTTTGGAGTGAATTGCGGTTTCCCAATAGTATAATAATTTGACACTGCTCGTATTTAGTCTCCGTAAATCGATACCAGTAATTTAATTTGGTTCGACTTTTGAGCAGAGTCACCCTTTAATGTAGGAAGAATGTTTCATAATTTTTTTCGTCCAGGGCTGTCACTTTTTTTATTCTCAAATTAAAGTTTGCAATCTCCTCTTTTCCAGGGCGCACAATTCTTCGATACACTCTCTATCAGCGGCTTGAATCGCTAAATTGAGAATATATTTTCTGCATTGTCCCTGCCATAGGCACTAGGGAGTTTTAGCAAGTCGTTTTTCGAGCGCACGGTTCCGAAATAACGAACGGTGCAGCTGGTCCGTTCCGTGAAACTGTACGTGAAATTTGACATATTTTAGCGAATCGTGAGACTGGCGTAACCGTGTAAACGATGACGACGATTGTTTTTGACTGGTGGCGCCATCTTCTAGTAAACATGTGAAACATTCTGCAACGTGCAAATCCGTGGCGGCTCGTGTTTCTGGAGTACGACTGATGTAAACAAGACGGCCGGCGTAACATTTGCCGGTCGCACTTCAAGACCTGCGAAGCTAGATCGAGTAAAAAGTATCTGAATGACCGTGAAGGTATGTGCTGTTTCTCCCTCATCTTGAACTTGAACGATCGTTCACGTTTTGTGCCGTCGAACCAAATCATTTCGTCTGCTCGCGGTCGCCACGGCAGCTAGTCTGCCCGGAGACCGGAAATACTTAGCATGCGCTGTTTACAGCATTCACGATCGCTTACCATTGTGAGCAGTCCTCGAAATGATTTGGTTCAACCTCTCCAATGAAGCAGAGTAACAGGATGGTAAATCGCCTCCCGCTGTCCTAAGCCTAACGCTCGACTGGATCGGCGAAATCGGTCGCCGAACCGACCGCCATCTTTTTTTTTTTTAACCGAGTCGTGAACGGTGCTGGCTGCGTTGCGATGACGACTCCAGCGGCTGGAGTGGGAGAAAAGAACGAGAAAAGACTCCCGACGCCCCGAACGACTCGCACGCGCATGCGCAGTGGTGTCGCCGATGCGTTCGAGGACGAACCCTTCGTCTGGAAACGACCGGCGAAACTCCCTACTATTTACGCCGTGAAACGATTAAATATATAGTTTTTTTTTCCTATCGTTTGTGCAATCCTCTTTAGATTTCAAGCAGCAAAAATATAAAATTTTGTGATTTAATTTTGACACAACAGTGAATATAAATCTACCTTAACATAGAGAGCCTCGTGTTTATACGACTCAACTTGTTAGCCACAGTCACATATATTGTACCTGAATCAATATGTTCTTGCGAAGTGAGGTAGGTCGCCTAGAACACCCGTGATTGGTACAACTGCGCATCGTAGTATTAAAAGTTAAATCATGGTTGTGCCCTTGAGCTAAGGAATTAATTACAGTCCATAAAATTATGAAATAGGCACTTCGTCAATACATATATCATCAACCATACGATATACGTTTCACAATACGAAAATGGTGAAGACGCAAGTGAGCTAAAAGCAATACAATTTTCAAAATGTCACGAAAGTTTTAGGACATGCCCTTCCAGTGTATCTTTTATAGAAACACTGAGCGGAAATCACAATGCTTGTTTTATGACCAACATTGTTTGACTTTACACTCATCTCCGTAACGCAGGCGACGAATCATGCAGAAAGGAGTGATTTAACTTGTGCCCCTCTAATTTATAAGCACCTTCGTACTCAGATCGAATCTGGCGTTAAATAGTGCTTACTCAAGTGAACATTTTCTTATATAATAATAAACTGACAGAGCTTGGATATTTATGTTTGTTCTTGACACGATGCCGGTCAATTTAATTAGCAAATAAGCATCAACCTTGCTAACTGATGACTTTTTGTTAACTAGAAAAAAGTGGTATTTCATGCTCTACTCGATATAGCAGCTACTTAATTGGACACTTTCTGACGGCTTGCGTGCGTAATTGTCATATTTCCACCCCGCGTCCTTGTGACAGTGCCGCTCTGCCCTGTGTTTTGGGGGACAGGATCCCGTCAAGCTGCAAACTTGCAGCTTTTTTTCCTGGCCCCCCTTGTCACATGTGTGTAAAAGCGCTGTGAAAAAAATAAACTGATTCTGATTCTGTGTATTTTGCTTTTCCAACCCACAGACACATAAAAGTTTTGTTCACTACATAAAAGAGGCAATAAATAACTTCTATATGTTGGAGAAGTTGTATATGTATACTGTAAACGACTTAATTTTCGCGAGGAACTGATTTTCGAAAATTTTGCGAATCGCCTGCAATTCACGAAAAATAGGTTCCGCGAACAATTCCGGTGATATGTAAACATATTGGAATTTTTACTGAGATTCCACCGCTTCGCGAAAATTAGAACCCGCGAAAATTCCAAAAACTTGGGCTTTGACCTAAATCGCGAAATATCGAGCCCGCGAAAAGTAAGTCGTTTGCAGTATGTCCAGAACAGGTAGTAATTTAAATTAGCTTCAAAATAAGAAATTAAATTAAGGCCTTCCTAAATTAATTATAACGTTTGTATCGAGGATAAAAACGCCGAAATATATTTGCAGAGCATCTTTCAGGTAATTTTGGGGTATATTTACTTATAATATATATATGGGAGAATCGATCTTCTATTTATAAGCCAAATTTTCAGTCATTAATAAAATATAGTTTTTTTATCATCGATACATTTGACTGCATGAATTTCACATAACCGCTTGAGACCGACACGAGAGGACGATACTCGAGAATACGTCAGCTGTTGAGTCTGCGGAAATGTGCTTTTGTTCACTGTTTTGCAGTGTAAAATACCGGCATGCAGGGTATGCCAAAAACGACTTTGTGCTCATATGATAAATTGGAAAGTAATTGCACGAAATCTGCAGACAGATTGAGATAACGTTTACTGTTTCTAAATAATTCCTTACACAATGCTTTACTGCAAAAACGGATTCATATAAATGCATTCAATGATATTTCTAAATAAACATAAATTGAGCGAAGGACAGACGAAGATTACTAAAGTCCTGATAGGAATCTTATTTGGGCATCAACTTGGCTGAGCTCGAAACTTCGCAAGATACTGCCCCGGGAGGCTAATGTATTTTCGGTTTTACGTGCACTTGTTTTGGGCCCCCACTTTACTACTACTGTATTTTATTTATCAGTCATGTGCTCTAACATTTAACTAGGCTGCTGTATATTGCCGCGGGCGCAGCTGACCAAGTAGGTAGTGCGCCCGTGGCATAACGGTTGTCGCGCTTGTCTTCTACGAAGAAGGCCAGGGTTCGATTTCTGGCCATGTCTACGCATTTTTGTTGACGCTGTGGTGTTCTGGTAAATTCGAGAACCGTCTGCTGATTCGATGTTAGAATGTTCTCCGCACCGAACTTCTACGCCAAATGTTCCAGAAGCCTACGCGTGTACAAAAAAGGCGCCGCGTGGCAAGCCGCAGTCAGTTTCGCCCCAGCGTTCGGATTCTATACCCGTGGACCCTAACCCCTCCGAAAACACGCCGGCCAAGTGGCATGCTCAGCCCCTGGAGGCTACCCTTCGCAGAAGACCAGACCAAGGCCCGGTCAAGTCGCCGTAACTAAGGTCTACCGCCGGAACTCGGACCCCTGCCGCAGAAATCAAAGAAGACCGCGACGATGACCACACCACCCGTCGTTGTCCTGCCCGTCGCCCCCCGATTTCCGACGCCCTTCCATGGCAAAATCTATAGAGACGTCGAGGACTGGATCCTTCACTACGAGCGCGTGGCCCGCCACAACAAATGGAACGCCGAGCAACACGTCCAGAACCTCTACTTCTCGCTGGAATGCACCACGAGGCACTGATTCGAAAACCCCCAAGGCTTCGCTCACTTCGTGGGATATCTGCGCCACCGAGTTAAAGCAAACCTTCTCGAACCAACACCGGCGACAGAAGGCGGAGAACCTGCTCCAGATGCGGACTCGAGCCCCCGACGAAAGCGTGACAAGCCTCGTTGAAGACGTGCTACGACTGTGTACATGCGCCGACCCGCAAACCACCGAAGAGAACAAGTTGCGCTTCCTCATGAGAGGCGTCAAGAGCGAAATCTTTGGTGGCCTTGTCCGCAGCCCCCCAATGATGATAGACGACTTCGTGGCCGAGGCGACCAACATCGAGCGAGCGCTGTCGGCCAGAGCTGTGCACTTTCAACGACTCGCCGATGTATCAATGGTTCCGGCTCTCTCACCACCTCGATCCGATGTCGATGGTTTTGACATCGATCACCTGCGGCAGATCATGAGCGACGTCGTCCGGGATGAGCTCAAGAAACTACTGCCGGCTCCCAACCGCCCAGCTTCCCTTTCGGTTGCCGAGGTGGTTCGAGAGGAAGTACAGCGAGTTTTCCAGCCGGACATTCCTATCATCGTTCCAGCTCCCGAAGAACCGGCGCTGGCGCAATGACCCGACGACACACGCCCGCTGGGCCGCAGCCGCAACGTGAGCCTTCAACACCGAGGCAACCGCCGTACGTCCACCCAGAGCAACCTGCGCCGAGGAAGACGGACGTCGGGAGGACCGCTGACCGACGCCCGCTGTGTTACCATTGCGGAGAAGCTGACCATATACCGACGATGCCCCTACCGGCAGATCGGGCTTCGCGGGTTCGTGTCGGACGCTCCACGCCCGAGGAGCGGAGAACGACCGCGAGACATCGAAGAATATCTGCATCGAGCACCATCTCCAGCGCCCGCTCCCTCCCGAGGATACCGGTCGCCCTCACCACGACGCCCCGCTTCACCGATGCTCAGGCCCCCACGCGAAAGCCTGCTGCCCCTCGCTCGTCGTCGGGGAAACTAAGCGCGGCAACCCCTGGAGGTGGTGTTGCCGAAGATAATCGACGCAAACATCCTCCACGAACGTCGGAGGGCCCACACTCTAACGACACCGCACGTAAAAACGACGCTCCTGCGACGGCAAAGAATAATCTAATCGTCGTTATCGACGGCCACGACGAGTCGGCCTTCGTCGACACCGGAGCAGACTACTCCGTCCTGAGTGGGAGGCTCTACCAACGCCTTCGGAAAGTGACGACGCCATGGGATGGTCCACAGATACGAACTGCCGGAGGGCACCGCATTACACCAGTCGGGATGTGCATTGTTCGCGTCGAGATTCACGGTGAAACATGCCCGGTGAAGTTCGTTGCTCTACGGGATTGTGCAAGAGACGTTATACTCGGCACGAACTTTCTCTGCGAGCACGGCGCCGTCATCGACCTGGAAGCCAACCGGCTGACACTGCGAAAACCTGTTTATGACGTCCGGGGATCAGGAAATAACGTCGGCCGGCTCAGTCGCAGTGCTATCCGAGCACGTGAACTTGCCACCGCGCTCGAGTGTGCTGGTGCCCATCGGAACCCAAACAGCTAATTACGGAGACGCCCTGCTGGAAGGTAATGTTCAACTGCTCATAAGCAGAGGGATCGATGTCGCCAGAGGCGTAACGAAGCTCCAAGATGGACGCACCGCTGTTCTTGTAACGAACTTCCGACAAGAGGCTCAGCACCTAACAAAAGGTACCACCGTGGGGCACATCCGGGAGCTCCAGGACACAGCCGCAATCGCCGGAATCTCTGAAGACTATACTCCGCGACAACTTTTCTTGGCAATGCAGTGAATTAAGGTACGTCCCGCGTCCCCTCTCCCATTTTGAGTGTACGCAGGCTCTCCTCCTCTCCCCCGAAATGGGGGAGGAGGAGAGCCTGCGTACACTCAAAATGGGAGAGGGGACGCGGGACGTACCTTCCATTGGATTGCCGAGAAAAGTTGTCGCGGAGTATACCCTTCGTCGCAACACGAGACAGCGTCATCTTCAAAGCTCGACATCGACCCAATAACCCTCCCCCTTCCCCACCGACGACAGCTGGCTGACCTCCTCGCCCAGTTCAATGAGTTCTTGCCACGTCATCAAAGGTGCGCCAGACGACGGTTCCGAAACATCGAAGTGTTACTGATGACAACGCACTTTCTGTGCATCGGCCACCGTACCGACTTTCCTTGAAAGAAAGGGAAATCATCCAGAAGCAAGTTCAGGAAATGCTTGATCACGACATCGTCCAGCCGTCAAACAGTCCGTGGGCTTCCAAACTAGTCTTGGTGAAGAAGAAAGACAGAACCCTGAGGTTCTGCGTGGACTATCGCCGGCTGAACGCAGTAACAAAAAAGGACGTCTCTCCGGCTGCCCCGCATTGACGACACCCTGGATCGGCTGCGCCACGCCCGTTACTTGTCGTCGATGGACTTGAAAGAGCAGGTACTGGCAAATAGAGGTCGACGAACGAGATCGCGAGAAGATGGCATTCGTCACGCCGGACGGACTGTATGAATTTAAAGTAATGCCGTTCGGACTGTGCACAGCGCCGGCAGCCTTCCAGCGCGTTATGGACACCGTCCTTTCCGGCTTGAAATGGCAGAGCTGTCTCGTGTACTTCGACGACGTTGTGGTGTTCGCAAGCGAATTCGACGAGCACCTGAGACGACTGCGATCCGTGCTACAGGCTATCAAAACCGCTGGGCTGACACTCAAGCCTTCCAAGTGTCGGTTCGCCTATGGTGAGCTGAAATTTTTGGGACACGTTGTGAGCGCTCAGGCTGTAAGCCCTGATCCTGCAAAGACGTCCGCTGTCGCCGAATTCCCGAAACCATCAGACAAGAAGGCCGCCTGAAGGTTCCTTGGGCTGTGCGCCTACTACAGACGTTTCGTTCGTGACTTTGCACAAATTTCTGCACCGCTGACGCATCTTACGAAGGGCGACGTGCAGTTCCAGTGGGGCAAGGAGCAAGAACAAGCGTTCGACGAACTCAAGCGAAGGCTCCAGTTGCCCCCTAACTTCGAGCATTTTGATCAGTCTGCGGAGCAGAAATCCACACGGACGCCAGCAATACTGGTCTCGGTGCGGTTCTCGTTCAGCGACAAGAAGGAGCAGAGAGAGTAATCGCTTACGCAAGCCGGGCGCTGTCCAAGGCAGAACAAAATTATTCAACGACCGACATGCAAGGAATGTCTTGCAGTCGTCTGGGCAATAACCAAAAGCCGTCCGTACTTGTACGGCATCCCGTTCCGCGTGGTCACAGACCACCACGCCCTCTGCTGACTCGCCAACCTCAAGGATCCGTCAGGCCGCCTCGCCCGCTGGAGCCTCCGACTGCAAGAATTCGATATAACTATTGCGCATAAATCCGGCCGCAAGCATAATGACGCTGACTGTTTGTCTAGGGCTCCAGTTGAACCTCCAATCTCCGGCTCCGGCGCCGACGACGATGACGACACCCGTTTTCTTGGAGCGGTTAACGCTACCGACGTGAGGGCACTGCAACGCGACGACGCGGAACTTCGCTCCGTGATCGATCACCTCGAAGGTCGAAGAGGCTCTGTCCCACGGGTCTTTTCTCAGGACCTACCGAGCTTTGTCCTGCGGCGAGGCGTGCTTTTCAGAAAGAATATCGGAACCCGCGAAACTCCATGGCTACTGGTTGTCCCTACCAGCCTCCAAGAATAAATTTTTCAAGCGTGCCACGACGACCCAACGGCCGGACATCTCGGCTACAGCAGGGCCCTTGCCCGGATTCGTGACAAGTACTACTGGCCAAAACTCCCGAAAACTGTTCATCTGCACACACGGTCATGTCACAAGTGCCAACGGCGTAAGAAGCCTCCGACGAGACCTGCGGGATTCCTGCAACCGATATCGGCCCATACTACACCTTTCCAACAAATTGGAATGTATTTGCTTGAGCCCTTCCCGCCATCGACGTCGGGAAACCGCTGGATAATCGTTGCCACGGATTACCTTACCCCGTACGCGGAGACGAAAACCCTTCCGTCGTGAACAGCGGTGGAAGTCGCCAAGTTTTTCGTCGAGTGTATTCTCTTTCGACATGGCGCCACCGAAGTCTCGATAACCGACCGAGGGTCATCGTTCTTGGCCCAGCTAACGCAAGAGATCCTTCGGCTCAGCCACACCAGCCATCGTCGGACCACCGCGTACCATCCGCAGACCAACGGGCTAACAGAGCGGCTCAACAAGGCGATCGCCGACATGATCTCCATGTACGTCGACGTATAGAGCACAAGACGTGGGACGAGGTATTACCATACATCACGTTCGCTTACAACACTGCAGCTCAAGAAACAACCGGGTTTACACCATTCCAGCTGGTGCATGGCAGAAAATTGACAACCAAGCTGGACGCGATGCTGCCCCATGAGCGTGTGGACGACGGATGCGACGATGCCCATGCGCGGTGAGTCAGAGAGCAGAAGAGGCATACACGCCAACTAGCCCGCCTTCGAATCCACGATCAACAGCGTGTCGACGCTCGCCGGTACAATCTTCGTCGCTGCGCCGTCCACTTCCAACCCGGAGGCAGAGGGTGGGTGTGGACGCCGATTCGTCGTCGCGGTCTTAGCGAAAATCTGCTGAAGTTCTACTTCACGGCACACTGGAAAAAACACATCCACTAAAAAATGCGATGATCGCAGTGACGTTGCACTTTCGAAGCTGTTTTACTGGCTCGTTGGCTGGTAGTGTTGGCCGCGCTCCAACGTCCGCTATCTTATGGATAGATTCCTTTCGAAATATACTGTCCTCTTTTGGCACCTGTGAAATCCCTGCACAATGGCAGAATAAAACCGCAACGTCATAGCACACTTTATACGTTTGGTTGGATTACAAGACACAATACATATATAAATATATATATTTATATATATTTTCTAAATTAAACTTACCGCTTAGAAAAGATGGTAGAATAAGCACCACGGCGAAAACTACGAGCTGCATTTTGCTCAATGGCAGCGTCCCACTGAAAGAGTAAAGATAATATAAATATGGCCTCTGAACTCAACACATTTTTCGCAGAGTACTTTGTTGGCAGCTGTAAAATCCCTGCACAATTGCGGATTAAAAGATGGTAGAATAAGCACCAGGGCAAAAACTACGCTCCGACGTCCGCTATCTTATGGAATAACTTGCGCGTTCCTCGATGCAGTCGCTATACATCTGTGCAGTGGTTCCCACCCTCTAATAATCGGCACGTGACTTTTGAAAGGGGTCTATTAAAACACTTGAAGAGTGCAGGGTAGAGCAAAAGTCACGTGATAAAAAAAACTGTAAATTCCTTTCGAAATAGACTGTCCTCTGTTGGCAGCTGTGGAATCCCTACACAATGGCAGAATAAAACCGCAACGTCATGGCACACTTTATACGTTTGGTTGGATTAGAAGACACAAACACATCGGCAGAAAAAAGCGATGAGTGCAGCGACATTGAACTTTCGACGCTGTTTGAATGGCTCGTCGGCTCCTAGCGTTGGCCGCCCTCCGACGTTCGCTATCTTACGGAATGACTTGTACGTTTCTCGACGCCAGTTGTTCCGCCATTGTGCAGTGCTTCCTACCTTCTAATAATCAACACGTGACTTTCTATGTGACACGGTATTCCCTGGTTAACAGAAAAACAAGGCAGAAAAACGAAAATGTGTATGAAATTTTTAACGGACAATATTTTCTAGAATCTTATCCGCAACGCGCAATCTAATATTTTTTTTTCACGTCAAAAAGAAAATAGGGAAATAATGAGCTGGCCCAGTAAAATGAACACCGGGAGAAATTCCTGCCTTCAACACGGAGTTTCCACGGCTTCTAGATATTACTCTCGCAAGCATTTGTTTGTTCTTCCAGCGGTACACTGTAACATAATGATTGCATTTTGTATTTCCTCAAATATTTGAGAGAAAAGACACTAAAGAGATCTGGGGTGTTAGTAAGCAAACTTCGGTGATAATCTTAATATAAAATTATTAAACGAAAGTTTTTTTTTAGATTGTCTTAGAAAAACGGCGGAAATAACATTGCACCATAATTTGCCAGACCCACCTACACCGGTCCGTTGTTTAACCGAAGGGTATTATGTATACAATTTCACGAACACACATTGTACTATAGGCGCTCCTAAGAGAACGACATGGCAACAAAACTAATTGAAAGGCTTTGCAATTCTATAGAGAGTTTACGTACCGCTTTCTTGCTTCGAGAAACTTGAAGTGGCGATTGCTAATCCGATGTGTGGAGAGGTAGGTGGCTTTCTTATATCCCAGATTGTAGGCGTATGACTCGCATCGCGCGATTGCATCAAACCTTTCCCGCCAATGGCAGCTTTGGAAGCCGGCGGGAGGAGACAAAAACTGCAGCTGAAGACGTGGCCCTTAGATTCGATTCAAAGAGCATTGTGCAGAACTTAAAAGAAAAATACAGCAAAAAACGGACGTCTGAAATTTTTTTTTTAATTTTTTTATTGCATTTTGCATTTGCGTGAAGTTCTTGAACCGTGTTTAGTTCTTCGAATATTTTTCGGAACAAGCGTACCGTACTCCTCTAAAACATAATATTCTACGCTGTGTGCACCACGTACAGGCGCCGACTATGCAAGGCTTTGTCTTGCAGGACTGTTTCTTATACCCAGAAATGTCCAGGGTAATCTTTAAGATAAAGCAGGGCAGTGTAGTCCATTTCACTAAAAGTGCCTCGTCACGGCGCTTATCCTTCTTATGGGATTCTTATAAGTTATACCCAAGAAAAGCGATCAAGTGAATGCACCGCATTGCTGCGTGTTTATTTTTCTGCACGTGATTGATTTAGCCGTTGATAGCAAGCCCACAAAGACAACGAGCTCACGAGCTCAGTGATCGTGCACTTTTGTCGTTGGTCGATTGGCTACAATACGGTGGAAGGTCGGACGAGTGCGTGGTACATGTTAACGGTCAAATAAACAGAGCCAGAAAAAACGAAAGACAACTAGATGATGTACACACTCGAAGCGCTGAAACACATACAAGAGCCCAGTGTAGAAGAAAGGAACTGCAATATGGTGGAATCGTAGCATCCGCTGCCGTCGAACTTAAAGTGAAACGGATATTGTGAACCCCACAGTGACAAACAGTTTTGTGCTGCTGCCCCAAAGCTCCAAGCGGTGGGTGGAGCAACATCTGGAAGGGGAACAATTTGAGTTGCCGAGGAAGACGATACAAACGATTCGTTGGAGTGGTTACTCCTCCAGCTAAAAACTAACTTTTCACCCTCGTACCTGCGAAGCTGTGCCTAAATGAATGACGTGAAGGCTCGTAAAAGTTCAATTCAGCTCCGGGAAAAGTGCTTATTTTCATATATTTAACTGACGAAGGCTGGACTCCGGCCGAAACGTCGAAAAATAAACCGTCCGTTGTTGCTGCTTTCACCAAGGTTCTTTTTTTCTTCCAAGTTATATACCCACGCCTTCGGCCTCCCGCCACCATGCCCGTTGTATATTTATATATATATATATATATATATATATATATATATATATATATATATATATATATACGAGATATGCCGGGTCCGTGTAGTTTAGAAGCAATCTGTAAAGGTACTGCCGGTAGAAATTTTGTGGAACAAAAATCGAAGATTACTATTCAAGGGTTATGTCTGATGAGGTGATGTATCAGACGTACTAGACCCCTTAAAACCCTTTACGGGTTTGCTGAGTCATTAAACGCGCATAGCACCGGCTAAAAAAACAACAAAAAATACAGGTTTGATTTTTATCGAAACCGGGTTCTAATATTAATTATAGTTTTGCTTTTTACAATACTTTAATGATACACTCTTGCAATTTTTACACTACAGACTCCTTTTAAAAGACTGGCCTCTGTTGGCACCTGTAAAACCCCTGAACAATGGCGGACTGAAATCGTAGCGTCACGGCACACTTTACGCGTTTAGTTGGAATAGAAAAAAACACAAAGGCGATGAACGCAGTGACGTTGCACTTTCGACGCTGTTTGATTGTCTCCTCTGCTCCTAGCGTTGGCCGCGCTGCGACGTTCACTATCTTATGGAATGACTTGCACATTTCACAATGTCAGTTGTTCCGCCATTGGGCAGTGGTTCCGACCTTCTAATAGTCGGCCCGGGAATTTCGAAAGGGGTCTTTCGCGTTTTTAAACAAGTTTCTTGGTTTATTCCCTGGTCGCTCCCTCACCGACATAACACCGATGCCTTGAAAGGCATCAAAGAGGGATGGTCAGAATGCATATCTCTTCCGCTTGTTTTAGAAATAAAAAGCGAGCCAGTAAATTGCCTCGGTAAGAAGCTACTTATTCCCATAAAGATGTCGCACCCCCCCCCCCCCCTTTCCCCCGCAAAAAAACCAACAACATAAAACCCTACATGACATTTGTGTAGGGTTTTCAATTCGTATAAGAGTTGAAAAAAAAAACAAAAAACGTTCAAAGTTCAACCTGTATATTTTATTTTATTTTGCAGCTATGATATGGTATAACAATTTCAGATTACTAGAATGCCTAATGATTCAATCGTAACTGAGTTGCAAGAAAGAGTTCAAAAGCTATTCTGCTTCTTTTTTTTACATCACATTTACAATACAATCATCACAATTTTACTTGATTTTATTATTTGTGTATATACACGATGATAAGTGTATTTTGTTACCTGTGCTATATTCACTTGTTTCTATTCGCAAACCAAGCGGAACACGTAGATGTTTCCAAATTATCATCCTCTTACGGCAGGGCCTAAAGTAAAAAGACAAATAAATTTTAAAAAAAGTCTCGATTTCTAAGTCGATAGGATTTAGAGCTTTCAGGAACGGAGAAAAGCTTTGCGCATTGTACCACTCGGCCGGAGGTTGCCAAATTACTTTTGCTTTCCAAATAAATAACAGTACTAATTACCTTGCCTGACACAACTAAAATGGAATTAAATTACATTAAAAATTACCACAACAAAATGTACTTCATCATAATTACAACTTTCTCCCAAAGTAATTATTTGCTTTCGACATACTTTTGTAATGTCTTATACAAAAAAAAATTATTACTTTCTTGCTACATATATTTTATTTGTTTCATGAACACTTTATTTGCATAATCCGCTGTTTTGCAGTCTGCCACACCAGGCTCGAAGCATGGCTAAGCTTGTCGCGATAAATGTAAAAATGTGATAAATGTCGCATCACCCTGTCTGACCTAAATTTTTAATCTGTTTGCGGCTCTGGTGTTTCCAAAAAATATGCAGATAGCTAAGATCATCGTTTTTTTTTAAAAAAAAAGGATGACAAGAACAACATGGCAAACTACAGGCCTATTTCTATGTTGCTCGTGTTTTATTTTGGCAATTTTGTTTTTGTTGTATGTTGAGTTATGCAAAGAGTTCACAGCTCCACCCTTGAGGTCACTCGTCCAACGTATCAGTTATTTTTGTGAGTTATACTGTTTTAAAACTGTTAAGCCCCGGGTCATTTAATGGCTCATACCTACTCTTCTCATGCAAAACATTGGTTCGAGTTCTGCATCTTTTCCGAGGTAAGGCAGAGACCCTGAAAGAGAAGTGGTCGAGTTCGACGTAGAGTTAACTTTTTGCCCTTATATACACGACAACCGACCTTCACGGAACTTGTCAACTAGAGTTTTTGTGATGTACTTTATTAGAGGCGGTTCAGGAGGAAGTTTATTAGTAGTAAAACCTAAATGTTCACGCTTCCAGCCTAGTACTACCTTCATCGTTTAGGCTGTTGGGTGAAGCGCCAAAACATAAGCAATGATTATAGCAAAAATAATTACGGGTCAAAACACACAGAGTAGTAGATGCCAAACATGAAGTGCCGTAAGCATTGACGTAGATGCAGCCTACCGCATGACATTATTGCCAGCTATCTGACTTTCTTGGTCTGTCTTTTATTTTATATTGAAATAAAGGTTCTGAACACGACAAAATAATTTTTCAGCGGGAACTGTATTG